TGAAACTGTAATATTTTTTCTTCACTTTCATTAAAAGTTAAATTTGTCTCACTGATAAATGTCTTGTGCATCTCTTGAAGTTTGTCTAAAGAAAACAAGACATGAATGTCACAGTCCCCGTTATTTAATTATAAAATACGCATGTTAAAATAATACATCTGCAAATAATTAATATGTTCTCTACTTTCATTGACCCAGGTCCAAAATCTCAGAGTACACAAGTGCAACCACACTATGTCTCATGCATGCTCAAGAAACTGCATTCATAAATCTAAGTAAACCTTGATGTACCTTTAATAACAACTTGCCATCTTTGTTAATTCAGGTATTTGTATATTACCAGGACCTGGGTTTGTTTCATTATCACCACTATAATTCCCATCAAAATGTAGCCCTGACACCCCCAACATTTTCCACTGAGATCGGTAATGATACGACCCATCTGTCACTGATTCAGATCAAGGTCAATGTCATGACATCACCAAAAACCTGAGCATTACAATGTAAGCTATTTATTTATTCTGAGTTTGCTCAGTTGCTCTGTAAGTGCAGTAGGGATAGGTAATTTTGGATGAAAATCTTGAAAGAGACCTACTTAAGATTTTAAGATCTGGAAGAAAAAATTGTGTGCATAGTAAACATATTATTGTTCATCAACCTGCCAAGTTTCACTAATATCTGCTGCAGAATTTTTGAGAAAATGCTGGAGACGGAAAGCAGAAAATGGACATTTGACAAGACCCTTTTTAGAAAAATAACAAAGGAAATATTTGAGGAGCAGAAACAAGACCCATGGCTCTCCCGCTCATAACGAGATCTTGACGGCCATTTGCCAGAAGCAAGGTACAAGATTAACAAAATTACGACGATGACTGTCTGAAAAAAACCTAATAAAATGTTCAATGCTACAAATTTTGTTATTTTTTTAGATTCGCGAAACCAAAAATGCTTCTACTATCATAGACAAGCCATTATGGCACAGTCCCCATTAGTTATCAAACTTAAGATATATAGTTTTGTTTTATAGTAATATAGTTGGAACATAAAAATGTCAGAGATATGGTTTCAGGGGCTGATGCTTGATTATGATGATTTTCTAACATTGAAATGATTGACAATTAGTCATCTTTTTTCTGATCGTCAAACGAGTACTTGTCCATATTGGTAGATAATGCTTTGGAATAGCATTTATTAAAGCAAAATGGCCACGGGTCGGCCATTTTAAATACATCTGTATATCTATAATATGATGTATATTAAATATATAAAATTTGAACAGAATCAGTCAAATCATGTCAGTCCCCGTTTTCGGACTGAGTCCTAACTGGGACTAAAAAAGTCACCCACCTCCTAAGCTGGCATCGTCTTTAACATCTTTCCTCCACTCTGCAACAGCATCTAACATTGCATTGAAATGAAAGTCAACTCGTCTGTCCAACCTTCTATCAGTTACTTTACCATTTTCTTGAAATAACTCACACTTGTCAACCATTTTTCTCATCTTAGAATTTACCTGTAATAAAAAACAATTTAGGGTGTGCACCATTTGATTTTTAACTTAAATGTTTTCCTTCTTAGGATATACAACACAATTTCTCAAACATGAGGGATATAGATCAAGGACTACTACATCTGAGCAAAAACAAATTATTCGAGTGAAACACACTCACTATGCAAGTATTGCAAGGAATGGGTTGATCCTGGATGCAAAGTGCAATGAAATGATGTTAATTTCTAGCATAAGTTATATGAATCTAGTGACCCATCGTCCTATCAACCACACAGCGATTCACAAATTTTGTCAGAGCTACTGTAAAATCATTAATTATCACTGGGTTTTAATTCCCTATTTTTATTGATAAATAAAATCCACTGAATTCATTTTAAGTGAACATGTAAATTTACAATAGAGCTTATAATCAGAAAATTCAGGAATTTAAAATCCAGGAAATTTATCAAAAAGCAAAATTTTTAAATATACCATATACAACTGTATACCGAGTAAATCAAAAATTTCATTTATTGTGTATTGATTGATTCAAATATTCCTAATTTCAACTAAAGTTACTTACATCAGTGCATATGCTACTAAAATATGGTAGCGCCTTCACAGCATTCTGCTATTTACAGCATGCAGGTGTTGTATTATAAAATCTTACCTGTTGACACATGACCATAATCGGATTGTTATAACATCCTGTGACGATCTGAGCACCTTTACCAATACACTGACCCAACGACATGTCATCCCAGATTCTACCACCAATTCTTTTATTGGCTTCCAGTACAGTCACTTTGATGCCAGCATTTTGTAGATGTTTGGCTGCAGCAAGGCCCGCCGCACCAGCCCCGATGACGATTACATTCTCCTGTATTGCGAGAAAATTGTAACATTAAAACTGGGTTGGGTGAGATAAGGGCTTCAATAATAACAGCACTTAGCTAGTGCAAGAAAAGTTTGTGAATAGCTCTCAGAACATCATTTGTATGTGTCAAAGGCCATTCAGTGTAACAGAAAATCAAAATCATTATTATTATTATTATTATTATCATTGTTAATCAGTCATAATAATTATCAGCATAGGTAATACAGGTAAGTCTGTGTTCATTTTACTGAATGTTTGCTAATGAGGCTGGGCCTTCAATGACGAACAGCCTGTGAACAATTATTGTAATTAAATACAACTCCCCAGTTACTGTACTCTCTAGCAATAGTGCTGGCCAGAAATGGAGAAATGACATAGACAGGCAAAAATGCCATCTATTGGAAGCAGAAACTAAAAAAATTACTTTATTATATACTAAAATCATTAAAATATGATATACTTTTACCAAATAGACGTCTATCATTTATGTGCAAGTGCATGTACTACTAATAAAAAGCAAATACATGTATGATAATGTAAATCTCTACATCAAATTAAATCATCTATATTATAGCACAATGCGACACTGAACCCCTTTTCTTTCACCAAATGTCATCACCAGAGTGACTGATTGGCAAAGCTTAATGTGTTTTCAGCAATAACCACAGAACCCTCACTAAACGTTGTGATGTCACTCCTAACAATGTGATAAGATCATCTTCAGATTGTGAATTGGTAAATCCTACATGTGACTGGCTGACTTTGATACCCAATGAAGTTGCAAACTTGATCCCAAACGAATCTACAGAAACAGAGACTAATATCTTATGACATCTCAAGAATATCAAAACTGTTGTATTGGATATACAACACATAATAGATTCTGCCATAAATTCGCCCTGGGCCGTTAAACGAAAATCTGGGTTTTTAAAAAAAATAAAATGGTACCAAGAAATCGCCCAGGATGATTTTTTGGCAGTTTTTTAAGGTGTTATTTTAATATTTTTCGATGCCTAAAAGGTTTACCGTAGTAATTAACGCCTATTCAAGAGTATGATGTACTATGCGACTAGCGTGAATGGATAAGCTTTGTTTCGAAAATGAGCTGTTATCACTGTAAACAATGTTAAATTATTCTTCAAATGCTCAGTTTATCTTTTGAAAACATATACCGTACCCGACCGCGTTAGCGCCCATGCCCAGGCAAGCGCCCACCCCCCACTTTTGCGCATTTTATATTTGGGGTCACATTCGGCAAAGCGCCACCCCTTCAAATGCAACTAAACTTGAAACTTGGTCTTGCGCACGAATCTTGGTAATCGTTTT